TTCATACAGCAAACACATGTGACATGGTCATAATATTAGAAGTCTCAAATCATATGGCCATTTTTCAAGTGTAAAAATGTTTAATAACTTTAAAAATATGGTCACTTAGAAAGCATTTTTAGATTGCAGCAGCACATGAAAATAATGCCAAGTACCAAATACCACCCAAAACACAACAGGGCATTAGTGGTGGTCAGCAGGTAACTAATTACAGAGTTTACTCTACTTAGAGGAAGTAATTCAAGTATATGTGGCACATTAAGGTATCTTAATACCTTCTTTTCTCAAAATTAATAAACACTCAAATTATGTTTTTTTAGACAAAGGGAAATTTTAAAAATTGAAAATATAAAGCTTAAATCCAATTCAACTCAACTCACAAATGTGCAGTTGTTTTCCCATCAGAAATACAGATGAGAGAAAGGAGCTTTTAGATGAACTCTATCCATTGACCAACACCACCTTGTCCCCAAGTATTGGTACAGTATTAAGAAAAATCTAGTCATTGGTAGAGGATTCTGTCAGCTTCTATGAAAGACAGAAATCAGTTACACAGCCTACTGCTGCATTACTAGAGAATGCTGTCTGTCATACTGGTCGGTGTCAACTCGACAAAACCGCACTGAAGATTCCTTTCAGAATTCAGTGCCAGAAGTCTGTCACCCTGCAGGATGGCTGTCCCCTCTGAAAGAAGCTGCTTAGACTATATGGCACTTTGGAAAAGGCAAAACAGAGATGTGAAAGGCCCAACTGCTGCCAGGAGTCTGAAGACAGGGAGGGAGGGGTAGAGAGGTGGCACGTGGGACTTTTTGGGCAGTGGATGTTAGTTCAAAGCGGGCCTAACTGTGAGTAGTGAGTCCAATAACAGACATGCTAGCCTCCAATTTAATCAAGTTCCTGATATCTATGGGCGTGTCTTCTCTCAGTATCTTACAGCATTTTTTGAGGCATCCAAACACCAGCTTCAACAGTATGTGGCAAACGAGAGCTGTGTATACAAACTGTAGGCGTAAGAAACCCAAAGGTGCCAAGCAATGCTTGGAGAAAAAGTGAAGAGCCCACAACTCTGCAGACATTTAGGTACAGAACCGAAGTTATCTTAAAGCATTTATTTCACTGGAAGCTTCCTCTATTTCCTTAATAAAATGAAAGTATAATCAATGTTTCAGGGTTCATAAAAATGTTTGAAGGATTTAAAGGGACTTGTTTTTTAAAAAGAATAGGTCTTCTAGACCAAGCATGCCAAACTTGTGGCCCACAGGCTACATGCGACCCACAACAAAATTTTTGTGGCCCAGCCAATGTAACGGTATGCAAGAAATGTTTTAATAAAAACTTCCTAACGTAATTTTTACAATATTCTGTTACACATAGCTATTAACCTGTTAACCCGGGAGTTCCCTTTTTAATTACGCAACGTACAGCGGGCACATACTCTTTCACTAGGACGTGTCAGTACGTCACACCCAGCGGACGTAATTTTATATTATTATTTTTTTATTTATACTTAATTAAAATAAATGAAATATATATTTTTTCGTTTATTTATATATAAAGCACAAAGGAAAATACAAAATTACAAATAGAAAAGAATACCAACAAAAAAATGGAAACATCGAATTAAAAAATTATAAATTTTACAAACAATTATAAAGATTACAGCCAAAGCCAGTTTGGCTCAGAGGTAGAGCGTCCGTCTGTGGACTGAAAGGTCCCAGGTTCGATTCCGGCCAAGGGCATGTACATTGGTTGCGGGCACATTCCCGGTAAAGGGTGTACAAGAGGCAGCTGGTCGATGTTTCTCATCGATGTTTCTAGCTCTCTATCTCTCTCCCTTCCTCTCTGTAAAAAATCAATAAAATATATTTTTAAAAAATTATAAAAAATATATACCGTCCCTCTCAGGGCGCAACATATATCTCAAGGACATATTCATATGTTCTACCTGTTCCCGATAGTGTTTATGTTTGACGTATTTATAGGTCCCACTCGGTTAACAGGTTAATAATGAGCTACTACATTCACTAATGACTGACTACTATAATTGTGTTGCATTCATTTCCCTTACTCGCCCTACACGCAGGCGCACCATTTCTCTCCACTAATATCAGCAGCAAATATTTTAGCAGCTGACTGCCACGTCATTAGTCTTGTACTGACTTGTTTAGTGTGCGCAACAGGAAGTATTCCGCTTTTGGAGAACAAGAAAAATAGGTTTATTTGCGTTACGCTTATTAATTTGTGCAGTTATTCAGTGTCTGATAAGTTAATATTCTAGAAAAAAAGTATTAATTCTTATTAAAATGTTCTTTTATGTTAAAGATCTCATTTATTTCAGCCCTTTGTATTCAGCATGTCTCTACAGCAGAGGTTCTCAACCTGTGGGTCGTGACTGACCCCTTTCACCGGGGTGGCCTAAGACCATCGGAAAACACAGATATTTACATATGATTCATATCAGTAGCAAAATTACAGTTATGAAGTAGCAACGAAAATAATTTTATGGTTGGGGTCACCACAACATGAGGAGCTGTATTAAAGGATCACAGCATTAGGAAGGTTGAGAACCACTGCCTTATAGAAATAAACCTACGCTTCTATTAAAATTGAAGCTTTTGATTTTTTGTGTCCTACACAAACTTAAACCTTATTTGGCCCATGATAGCCCCTGAGTTTGACATGCTTATACTAGACAATCTTCACAAAACATGAGACCTGCCTCTATTATCTCCTAGCTGAATGACCTTGAGCAAGGCCTGACCCTCGGTAAACACAGACTCACCGTGTTCTCTACTGGTTGGAACTTGCCTAAGAGTATATTCTGTCCACCAAAACTTCCAGGTGAAACAAGCCAGGTCATGTCTATGACTGGAAGAATCCACAAGGTGGAGGGTATAGCACTTAGCCCAAAAGACTCCAGAGAAATTCTTTAAATGCTAATATCGGAAGAGTTATCATCAGGCAGATTAGAGGTTGGGCTCATGTTATACTACCCAAATGACAAAATTAAGTAGTTAAAGCAAAGCAATTTTTGGCTCAATATAAAGTAACTTCCCAATAATCATAGTTAATTATCCTATATTGGAATAGGCTGCTTATAAAAGTATTCTAAGTATTCAAACTGAAAGTCAAGCTGAAGCTGTAGGACCATTTTATATAGAATTTGGTGGGAATTGCACTGTACTGGAAAACCGATTTTAAACAACCTCAATAATCTCCCAACTTTAAGAGGGATTAAAATGACCATGATTGCTGTTGTGGTTTTATGCACATTTTAAAGATGAGGAAATTGAGGGTAAGTAGAAGAGCTCATTTTTAAATCCTGAATCTATTTGGGTTCTCTCCTCTGAGTGCTTCTCATCCTTGGCTCACATTATAATCACCTGTATACATTGTTACAATCCCACCAACCAGGCCACATCCCAGACCAACTAACTAGAATAACTAATGGAGAGACCCAAGTGATGCCAACATACAGGCACGACTGATACCCACTGTTCTATACCAAGGGCCGGCAATCCAGCCTTCTTGGAACGCATCCATGTGCATTTTCCATCCTCTATGGCTGCTTTCATGCTACAGTGGCTGTTAAGTAACTGACCTTATGACCAGTAAGGCCAAAATAGTTACTACTGTTTGGCCCTTTACAGTAAAAAATTGCCAATCCCTGGCTTTATATCAATTATGTCCTAACTCTTATAAACCGGATGGAGAAGACCAGCAAACAGTGTTCACTATATACACCCCTGATATTCAAACAGCAAAATTTCGACTGATGAAAATTAACCCCAAACCTAAAAAGCCAGAGGAACCACTTCACAGGATTACTATGACATTTTGCCCTTTCCCAAAGGGAAAAGGAAACAAAAACAGTACCGGTAATTCTTTTTAACAGAAAGTACTCCACCCCCACATGATCACCATCATGGAAATCAGACACTGAACAGCTACAGAGCTTCGGGGCAAAGCAAGCATTACATCACACGTGCGGCGCTGGACAAGCCTGGGGGCTGCAGAGAAAACCTCCAACCCCTGGGCTGCTGCTTCAAATAAAAAGTTAGACACGGGCAGTAAAGTTACGTTAAGGAAAAGTTCCAACCTATTTCCACTCCTCAATAATGCCCTCCATTCTATTATTTTGAAAACCCACACAACAAATGTGATATGCTAAGATTCTTGTACATACTCCTTTGGATATATTGAAAAGTCTCATCTCAAAGGAAAATTTCAGAGGCTTCCCTTAACTAAGGAAAATGATGTGAGAGTGGGACAAATTTAAAAGACTCCAGCTTCTGTAATATTTATTGTAAGAACAGCAGCTCTACACAAATGAGAATAACCCTACTACCATTTGCAAATTCTATAAGCACTTATAAATGCTTAATTTACCCAAAACATTAAAGAGTAAAGGATGCTGCCCAGGCAATGTGGCTCAGTGGTTGAGCATCAACCCATGAACCAGGAGGTTAGAGTTTAATTCTGGTCAGGGCATAAGCCTGGGTTGCAGGTTCAATCCCAGTAAGGGCATGTAGGAGGCTGCCAATCAATGCTTCTCTCTCATCATTGATGTTTCTCTTTCTCTGAAGTAAAAAATATATTTTTTAAAAAAGCAAAGGATGTTAACTAGGTCTCTAAAATGTTATGAAACGACAAACTACATATTACAACTAAAGAATTTATCGTTCCTAGCACCGAGTGCAAAAAAAGTGAGCAGAGTCCAAAGCAGGAAAGTCAAATTACTAAACAATGTGTGGCGTTGGCATGCCACCCAGCAGTATGGGCAAATCCTGATTGTTAACACAGCCTTTGATAACCCACATCCACAGGCCTAGAGAAAATACTAAGATACCAAAATTATGTGCCTGAATAATTTCATCTTCTGCTTTAAATTTATTAGTTACGTGTGTTTCATAAAGACAAAAACCCCCAAAAAGCATACTTCAGCACTGCAGCCAATGGAATCAAATGAGAGCAGAAATAGCTCCGTTCGCAGTGTTTACCTGGCTCTTCCTTAACGAAGGGCACGTCCTCCTCCGGATAGGCAGCAGGCGGCTGCAGCGCGGAGCAGTCTTCCAAACCTGCTTCGTTATTGGGTGGTATGTTATAAACAAACCTCTTGGCAGTCTGGTTTTTCCTCCTTGTCTTGTTGCCAGTTTCTTGAATTCCCTGGGAGCCCATATTATTCCAAATGAACACTTTTGTTTGAGCTGGGGCTTCGTTTTCAGCCTGTAATTCCGGTGAACCATCCTGGACCCAGTCACTGTCATTCATTTGGTAATTCTCTATTTGGCCCTCCTCGACGTTACAACCATCATTTTCAGTTTTTACGTTACTTGCCAAATTGGTAAGATTCCGTGTTGCCCAAAAACTGGCAATTTTTTGATCCCGCGATGAAGACAGACCATCTCTATTAACTGGTTTTCTATTGTTATAGTCCACAACCACAGACTCCGGAGCTTCAGATTTAATGCTTATATTTAAGGCATCTTTAATGAAATTTCGGCAAGTCTGAACAACTTCGCTCATTTGCAGATAGCTGGCCACGGTCATCACTTCAATGGCGTTTTGGCTTGTGAGCACCAGGTTACCAGAATACAGGAAGTCCAAGATGACGGAGAAACCTTGAACTGCAGCAATATCTAAGTGGGTAGTATTGTTTTGGTTAGGGCTTTCTTTGTTGGAAAAGCAATATAGAGTCTTAAAGAAACGGCTGCCTGCAACCAGGATGTTCTTATGAGCTTTAAAGATTTTTCCGCTCACCACAATGCTGACATCACAAAGAATACCTTTCTTTCTCTGCTCATTTAATTGTCGAAGAAGTTGATAGCAATAAGAGTTTTCATTTGGCCTGCTATTAAAGTCACAGTATCCCTCTTCTGAAGGTATTTCTGGTTCCTGTAAGTGAATGGAAAACATAAATGTTAAACTCAAGTTCTTCATATAAAATGGGTAATACTTGCAAATCCTCCTGTGTACTTTAAATAATCTCTACATTATTTATAATACCCACTACAATAGAAACGCTGTGTAAATAGTTGTTATACTGTGTTGTTCAGGGAATAATGACAAGAAAAAAGTCCGTACATCTTTAGTACAGGCCTAACTCCACAGTACATGTCAGCAACAATGTAATGTTTTTTCACCAACATGTTTGACCTGCGGTTGGTTGAATGGGTGGATGCAGAGCCTGCAGGTGCAGAGGACTGAATGTACACTACTGTCCGTGTGTGTGTGTGTGTGTGTGTGTGTGTGTGTATGTATGTATGTTAGAGGCTCAGTGCAAGAATTTGTGCATAGGTGGGGTCTGGACAGCCTGGCCAGGGGGAGGGGACATGGGCAGTTGATTGGTCTGCCTGTTGGTCGAACTCCTGGTTGAGGGGACAATTTGCATATTAGCCTTTTATTATATAGGATATACACTGAATGAGTGGCCAGATTATTGTGTGTTTAGAGATCATAATAATCTGGCCACTCAATGTAAGAAAAATCAAACATCTGAATGAGCATCAGCAAGGTTCCATTTACAGAGTAACTGTATCATGTCATTCTTGAATGTAAAATAAAAACATGAATTAAGAATTACTTAAATTAAAATAAAACATTAGCATTTGCAAATCAAGAACTGCTTCAAAATCTGCACATCACGCAGCTGGCACTGCAGGAGGCCATGGCTATGTCTAACTGTAGTGATCATTTCAGGCTCTGGTCACTGTGTCCTCAATTTCCTGGGCTAGTCCCAACTTCTGAAATTCTCCACCATTACCAGACCAAATAGCCTAATTTTTAAAAATGACTCAAACAAAAGCCTGTACACCAAAATATTTGCCCATTCTATTTTAAACAAACTGCACAAATCAAGCACAGTTATTCAATCATGATTTTCTCTCGTTACTATTGTATAACAGTGATGTTCCCTGCTTTTACAAGCAAAACTAGCAACTTCTTTTCCACTGCTGATCACACCTATTTAATGTGCCCTTGGCAGCAAATGGTTTACAAGTCAAGTGCGTGTTGCTTTCCAAGGGGAGTATTACTTGAGAATTTTGGTGAAACATAGCTAAAATAAATGGCCATTATTATTTGAACCAAATAAATTATACTAAAGGTAAAAAGTTATCACTAGTGATCAAGACTCTTAAAGCACTGAAGACTATGACAAGAGCACACAGGAGGTGCATCTAATCCAGGTTTCTCGGAGGTGGGGTGGAGGGGGTTGGAAGAGAGATTTGAGCAGAGCCTTAGAAGATGCAAGAAAAGGTTGGAAGGATGTGCATTCTAAGCAAAGTAGACAGTGGGAGAAAAAGAACCAAGATCGCTACAATATCCTTATAATTCGAGATTTCTTAAAATACTCCAGGGTGATCCAAAAACCCAAGATATGCAAATGTGCATTTACTAACACTTTAAAGTTTCTATAGCTTTCATCAGGTTATTAACAGATTAGATTCCTGGACAAGATTAAGATTCACTTCTATAGGTGCCAGAGCTTTAGAAGCAGAGTGATCTGATCTGATAGGATTAGCAGAAGAGATGACTGGCAGCTAAGTAGAGGATTAATACTGGGGAACTAGGACTGGAGATACTCTGACCATCGGAAGCTACTGTGTAACAGTTAACAGTCCTTGCAATAATCACCTTAACTAGGGAAGATGGATAATGTTACTAGGGGGAGAGGTGGTGAAGCAGAGTTTGGAAAAATATTTGGTAGGCAAAAATCAGAACTGAGCGATTAGATTGTGGGTTTGGGGAGAAAAGAATCACAGGGTCCTCAGCATTCTAGCCTGAGGAGCTAGATAATGCCACCAATTTGTAGGGAAATCTACACCCCCCTCTGATAGAGATAACTTCAATTGCAATCAGTGAACTCATCTGTAGTTAATCAACAAATAAGAAAATGCTATAAGAAATTAGGATTTACTTCCCTGCCCAGGATTATAGTCCCCTTTCAAAAAATGATTACGGATTCAAACACAATGTTAGGACCTACACAAATAATAATATACAAAGTGGCTCTTTAACGGACATAGTTTCATCTTTAATGTTTCTTCTTCTTAGTGAGAGGGTTTTCAGATTTTCCTCCTAAATTGATAAAAACAATAATCCTTGAGCTATATTTTTGCCAAATTCAAAGAAGACTGGTAGCTTTGTTTCACCTTTGCTTTAGTGATGACCTCAACATAGTCCACTTATTAATGTCACCCAGACCAGATCTGAATTCAGAATTTACTTTCTGGAAAGGCTAAGTAAATGCATAACACCTATACACCTGAGTGCTTGTTTTGGGGGTAAACTGGAAAGGCTTGGCAGAATGTGTGATGTAAGCTATGAAATTTCACAAGTGGGTAGAAAGTGACCTGAACCAACAGACATGGTATAATCACTGTTAAAACAATTTTAAAGTCTCTAGGCCAAATGGTCAATTCCTGTATGAGCTAATTATTGAACTTGATTCTAGACAGACATAGTCAGCTGTTACTCAAAATTTAAGGTATAGCCTGGCCAGTGTGACTGTGATTGAGCGTCAACCTCTAAACCAGGAGGTCACAGTTAGATCCCTGGGAAGGGCACATTCCTGGGGTTGCAGGCTCCCCGGTAGGGGGCGTGCAGGAGGCAGCCAATAGATGATTTTCCTCATTGATGTTTCTCTCTCCCTCTCCCTTCCTCTATGCTGTCCCTTACATGTTATACCTCACATAAGCTTATAAAGAACTACAGGCTTCTCTTTGAAATAGAAGGCCAAGGACAGATTCTGAAAGCTTACTTACAGACTCTCTTCCATGAGGAATCCTTAACTAACATTCAGTTAACAAGAATATCAAACTTTTTAAGAAGGTGCTATAATGTTTTAGTCACCACCATGAAATTAATGAAAAAAAAATTTACTTACTTACAGGAAAAATAAGAAAAAGTAACCCTTAGTGACATACTAAAATTTGGCCAAACTCCTCTAAAAGAAACAGGCCTCCTTAAAACAGCAAAAAAAAAAAAAAAAAAAAAAGTGTGTGTGTTTAATAAAAGGAGTGAACTACCCCAACCTTCAACTGAATTCTTGCCTGAAGAACTCTAAAACTCTCATTTCAATGTTTTTAAGATAGGAGAATGTTAATATAAGGCATTTTTTTATGAAGCTGAGAAAACTTGCATGTGTGATGAGAAATCTCAGAATGCTCAAAGAACTGGATGGCCAAGGTCTCGGAAGGTATGAAAAAAAGGAACTGGTTTGCTCTCTAGAATCAGTGTGATTGTGTGAGATAAAGTGGCCTCCAAACTGATAAAACTGCTAACACTGAGACAGGAGAGACACCAGGCCACAAAAAGCATCTTGTTACACTTATCTGCAAAGAAAATAGGAATGATAGTTTTCATTTACTAAGTGATTATGTGCTGGCATATATACTTTGCATAGATGAGGAAGCTAAGTTTTGCTAGCCAATAAAAAGAATCCTAATTCAGGTCCCCACCTTAAACCCGAAAAAGCTCTTACAGTCGGTGTTAGACTGCCTCCTACTGGTAATCAAAGACTGCAGGACAATGGAAAAAAGTGAACTCAGTCACAAGGTCAGTTCTTGAACCTGTCACACTTTAACAAGGAGAAATATAGGTGGTACCTGCAAGGCACATACAATAGCAAATTAACACCCCAAACTAAGATTAGCTAGAATTAAAATAGACAAATACTTAGGATCAGTTCAGAGTGCAAACATCTAAAATCCAACCAAGGGAACCAATATATAGCCTCCAAGTAAACTGTATTCCCTTGGTCTGATGAAAGAATGTCCCAAGAGAAAGAAGATGGGCTGCATATAAGATCTATAAAGAGAGCTTCAAGGGGGCCAAGGAGACGGGAAGGGAGGGATGATTCAGAGATCAAGTTTAATAAATAATGATTGTATCTAGGAGTGAGTTCCCTGATCCGGATGCATGCCTGGGGGAGAATTCACGCACCACACCAAGTCTGTCATTCGGTGATCTAACTAATTCCCCTTCCTCTGATTTCAGGTTCACTAAGCAGCTAATTATAATTTGCATTTCCATTCAGCTTTGCCTATAGAGAGACCATGCTGATAAGAGGAGTAACTGGCCCATTGTATTTCTAATAGTCTATTTTAATTTTTCTGAATAACCAACCTACCACTATTTAGAAAAGCCTACTTTCATTTTCACAAGTTTCCCATCTCATCATTTTACTAATTAACTTCAGAAATATATAACTTAACCCTTTAAAGCCTCGAACTCCTCTTCTGCAAACTGATTATTTTGCAGAGTTAAGGTAAATGGGTATTTGGCATATGGAAAACAAGGAAACGTTAGTACTATTTCACTCCATTGCCCAAGCTCACAAAGCTAATAATTGCAGAACACTGAGATCTGAACCAAGATTTGCTCCAAAACCCATTCTTTCCCCATTACAACATTCCTTACAGGCTCTAGTCTCAGTTATCACCAACGGCTCTAAGGCTCAGGACAATTTACTTAACCTTTCTGGGCCTTATATTTTTAAATAACCTTCATTCTGGGCTTAGGCAGTTAAAGTTTGTGCAAAAACTATTGCCACTGTCCCCTGGGAAAAATAAACCTACGCTTTAAAGTTCAAGCCTTAACTTCTGAGAAGGTTCTGGCCGTTACTAGATGCTGCTTAATTAACTCCAGCGTAAGTGTTCTGAGCAGCAAGATCATTCCAATAAACAGGGGGCTCCCAGTACAAGAGCGAGTTCCACCCACCAGCACAGGTTGTCCAAAAAGCCTTAAAGGAGAACTGGCCAACCTCTGCTAGGCCTAAAAGGGGATTATCAAAACCGTCAGGACTACTGTCCAGAATGGAAATATTAAAACAATAAAGGAAGAACTAGCGCACAGCTTACTTGTTTTGTAACTAAGGACTTGCTTTCAAGGAGTTTGGTAAATATGTACTCTACCAGTCAAATCAACTTTTGAAAAAGGCGGATTATATAAAATCTCAACACGGAAATCTGGATAGAAGAAACAGACAAAAACTACAGTAATTTACCCAAAGGAAAGTTCAATAAATTCAAAGAAGATGAATTTAGCAAAACTATGTAAGAGAAAGGAGTGTTAAGCAAATAGCTTCCACTACATTTACATACTGCTCTCATATTTCAAACTATTCTGACTTGATGTAAAGAATTTCCTGGCTGGATGTTTTCCGAAAAGGGGTAGCGTCAAAGGTTAAGGAAATCGTTTAGTAATTCATTCTTCAAAGAGCTCCCAGGTTTGACTTCCACCGGCATGCTATAAAACACTGAACCGGAGCTTTTCAAAAATCACAGGCAATGAAACTTTTGACCGCAAAGTCAACCTTTTCGGGTTAAAACCTTCCACCTTGCTTTACTAAATCTTTTTTTTTTAACTCAAAAATGGGCAAAGAAATAGGAGTTGTAAAATAACGAAATAAGCTCAGCGCTACGATTAACAAATTGACATCCCCCCCGTCCTCCCCATCTCACAGATTAACTTCTGGAAACTCATCCCTGGGCTTTCCGACCTCCCCAGCCCGAGGGGCCCGCACCTCTCCCGGCCCAACGATGCTCCCGGAGAGCGGCGCGGGAGCCGGGCCCTCCGGGAAGGACCGGGCGGCGGGGGCAGGGTCCACCGTACCTGGGCGTTGGCTTCGTGGAGCTTGTGCTCCGCGGAGACGTGGTGCCGCAGGAGCAGCGTCTTCTTGTAGTTGCGGGTCCCTCGCGACAGCTCGTCGTGCCCCAGGGGCGCGAGGTCGGCGCCGGCGCCGTCGGCGGGGGTCCTCTGGCACCAGCCGCAGGACATGAGGCCGGTGTCGGGGCAGTAGCGCAGCCAGGGGAAGTCCCGCAGCCAGGCCGCCTGGAAGGAGCTCTGCAGCTTCTGCATCAGCGACTTGGGCCGCGCGAGCGGGAGCTGCGGGGCGGCCTCGCCGTCGCCGGGCCCCGCGCCGCCCTCCGCCTCGTCCCCGCCGTCGCCGCCCGAGCGCCGGCCGCCGCCTTCCGCGCCGCTGCCGTCGCCCGGGCTCGCCCCCTCCTCGTCGTCCTCGCTGCTGTCGCTCAGGGACGCGCCGTCCGCCGCCGAGTCCTTCCCCTCCGGCGCGTCCGGCTCCGGCTCCGCCGCCGCCGGCCCGCGCCCGCACAGATGCCGGGGCGGCCACGCCGGGGGGTCGGGCCGGCCGCGGCTGCTGCCATTGTTGCCCAGACCCCCGCCGCCGCCGCCGCGGAAGGCCAGCGTCCGACGGTTCCTCTCGGCGAGCAGCGGGCCGGGGCCGCCCGCGTCCGGGGGCAGCGGCGGCTCGGGCGCCTCCTCCGCGGCCGCGGCCTCGGGGTCCCGGGGCGCCCGGCCCTCCGGCTCCGCGTCCCCGTCCGCCCCCCGCCCGTTGGGCTGCGGCGGCGCGGGCGGCCGGGGCTGGCGCGGCGGGGGCTGCGGCGGCCAAGCCGAGGCCTCCCCGCCGGCGGCATTGTTCGCGGAGCCGCCGCCGGCCAGCAGCCCGCCGCCCCGGAACGCCAGCGTCCTGCGGTTCATCTCACTGAACGACATGGCGCGCGCCGCCGCCGCCGCCGCCCGGCCCGGCCTGCCAGCCGCGGGCCGCGTCCCGCGCTCCCCGCCGCGCTCTCGCGGGGCCCGGCCTCGCCCTCCCGCCGGCCGCCCGCGCGCCCTGCGCGCCCGCCCCGCCGCGCTCCGGGCCGCGTCCCGCGCGGGGAAGGGGCGGCGGGGAGCGAGGCGCGGCGGGCGCGTGCGGCCTGGGGAGTCGGGCGGAGCGCGGGCGCCCCTCGCTGCCCTCCGGCCGCCGCGCCGCCCGCCGCCCGCCGGGCCTGCCGCCGCCGCCGGTGCGAGGCGCTGGGGCGCGGGCTGCTCAGGGCGCCGGGCGCCGCCACATAACGCCCGACAATGCAGCGGGCGGAGCGCTTCCGTGCGACCAGGCCCCGGCGGAGGTCGAATGGCAAATGAACAACGGACCGTGCGCCCACAATGCACCGGGGTAGCCGCCACCGCTGGAGGGGAAAGGGTGGGGGCCGGGCGGGGAGGGGGCTGGGCTTGGGGCCGGGCCGCTGGGGTGGGGGCGCCGGGCCCGGCGGGCGGGGGCGGCGGCGGCGGCGGCGGGGGGCCGGGCGCGGGCCGGGCGCGGGCGGCGGCGGGCCGGGGTCTCGGGCGGGGCGGGCGCGGGCGGCCGGCGGGGCTCGGCGGGGACGGGCAGCGGGAGTGACCGGGGTGGCCGCCGCCCGCCGCCCGCTCGCACCTACCGGCGCCCGGGCCGCGCATGTTCTTCCCTCGCCGCGCGCCGGGCCGGGCAGGGGCGGGAGCGGCGCTCCGGCCGCCGGGGCTCGGGGCGGCGGCGCCCGGGGAGGGGAACGTATTGCATTTTGCTCCGCGACAAAGGCGGCGGCCGGGCGGCTGCGGGCGCGGAGGCTCCGCCGCGGACCCTCCCGGGCGGCGCCTCGCCGCGGGCGAAAGTCTTTCACTGACAACGCGCCGCCCCGAGCGTGTCCTCGCCGTGATGAAATGGAAATTTAAATAAAAGGCCGACACGTGCGTGCGCTGGGAAGTATTGACATGGGCGTTACATCACCGGCAGCCAATCAGAGGGCCGCGGCGGTGTTTATACTCCTACAACCACCTTGTGAGTATTACCCCGTGTCATAACGTTATAAATATTAGCAGGGTTTTCCCCGGGAGGAGGAGCCTGCCCATCGCTGCCTGTCACACACAGACTCCATTTCCAGAGCCGCTTTCTGACCGGTGTATGCTGCCTATGGAATTTAGAATGATCGGAAGAATAGATTGAGCTGGAAATGAAATTCATAAATTTTCCAGCTTTAAAGCCCTCATACTGATTTATTTTTAGTATGCTAAATTTAGCAAATTCTAAAGTGTATAGACTCATTTTAGTAATTTTAAATGTGAAGGAAGTGTCCAATTACTTTTATTCAAACCTCGTTCAGGTAAAATGATGTTCTCAAACTTTGAACAGGGGCTTTTCACTCTTAAGAAATATATTAAAAGTTTAATTACAAACCTGTAAAATATATTCAAGATATGTATTGGGTGGAAATGGGTGTTGATTTACATTGTTACATTAATATATGTGTACTAGGATGTGCACAGAAAAAAAAATGAGACATGTATAAAGGTTCTTTGCAGGTATGGTTCACCTAGTGTTAGAGGTTTTGTTTGTTTTTAACATATTTTTATTGATTTCAGAGAGGAAGGGAGAGGGAGAAAGAGAGAGAAGCATCAATGATGAAAGAGAATCACTGATTGGCTGCCTCCTGCATGCCGCACACTGGGATGGAGCCCGCAAGCCTGGCATGTGCCCTGAGCAGGAATCCAACCGTGACCTCCCGGTTCATGGGTCGATGCTCAACCACTGAGCCATGCCAGCTGGGCTGTTAGAGGTTTTAATCTCCTATATTATATATTAATGGAAAGTTACATATGTTCTATAAAGAGCATATGTTACAACATTAAAGCCCTTTAGTTTTATGATTCTGTTAAGAAGTTTCTATTTTTAAAATAATAGTATGTAAAGCTTTGAATATATCATATGGAATATGGTAAGTTTTCTTAGATCAACTTTTGAAAACAGATTTTTGGGAGGACATGGGTATTAAAAATGCTACTTAGTTTTTTTTCCATTTTTTTAAATTAAGATATTATATGTGTACATATTTTACCATTGTCCCCCTACTCCCATACATGCCCTTCCTCCCCAGAGTTTTTCGTCCTTTGGTTGTGCTTATATGCATGCGTACAAGTCCTTTGGTTGATCTCTTATCTCCCCCATATCTCCCTCCCTCCCCACTGTAATTTAACAGTCTGTTTGTTGCCTTACTCTCTTAGTGTTTTTAAACAAGCTACACATGCAGGCATAGCCAGCCTACTATTGATTGTATAGATTTATTCAAAGCAACTTCCACTTCATTCACTGAAATTTTAGTATCTATATAATAGACAAAATGTAATTTTAATGTAAAGAATGATCCTACCAACCTGCCACAAAAAGGTTTTGGCTTTGGGTTATTTTTCCGTAATGATCTTATTGCCACCTTTTCATATTGTCACCTGGCCACCAGCTCGAAATTCCAGTGTAGGTCAGATTGGTGCAGCTTGTGGGGTTAAAAAAAAGGTTTGTCCTGTTTTATGTTAGTATTTGGGACACTTAGGGCAGTAGAATCTCTGACGTTGACCTAATTTGTACCTTGGAGAAATGAGAGAATTCTGCCTGTCGGGATTCATTTAGTATGTGCTTCCTTGGGATATATGGGAGAATCTATAATAATAAAAGCGTAATATGCTAATTACACTGGATTCTTTCTGGAGGAAGCCGGGGCTGCGGGGGAGGGGGGGGCGGGGCGGGGGGGCCGAGCCCTCTGCATGAGTTTCGTGCATAGGGCCTCTAAGTGTAATAATAATAATAATAGTGTGCTTGGTCCTTAATGCATTTTTAAAATTCCAGGCACTTTGCAAATGAATGCATTGTTTGTTTTAACGGGCACTGCCTCCCCCATGCAAAGGAAGAGTTCCTGAAGTTAATTGCTTCTCTAGGGCTAAGGAGATGGGAAAGGAGAATGGACTTGAGAATTTTAATTTCATTCCAAAACTGTTAAATCCATATCTCTGCTTCTTTTCATCTGGGTCTAGTGCATAACGGCCACTAAATAAGTTTATGCTAATGGTATTATTTTTGTTTTCTGCTGACGCCAGGATCACCCACAAAGTTGGAATCCACAATGCCATTTGTGTCCGGAGTGAGTTTTTCTCACACGCATGTCTTACCTTACACTGTCTTGTGTTTGGAATTATATTTAAATGACCAACCATTAGATTCCAGTGGTACAAATAAATGACTTAAATTCTGGGACTACTGAACTCCTAGCAGCCAAGCAGTGTGCTTGTGTGGTGAGTGTGTATTTCTACTTCTATCATCCGAGATGTATTAATATATGTTCACATGCTTCCTCAAACCCTGAACGAGGGGGACTCAGAAATAAAGTTCGAGAGGCTGGTAACCACAGCTGTCTTGGAGCACCCCGCATGAGGGAACTTTGAGGACCAGAGGGGATCTCCTATTCTGTAAAAGGAGTTTTTAAGAATTCCCCCACCTCTTCTAGTCTTCTACTAGCAAGCAGGGATCTGTTCTCTCCTCTGGCCCCTATTTTTACTGTTGGGGTTACACCATATTCAGGGGGATTCCCCTCTTACGCTTACCAGGGGAACCCCTCAAGAACGGGGCATCCCCAACCAGTTTGTCCCCTAATTTCTCCGTAGGCTGAAAAACTACTGCAGGCCACCCTGATACTGTCTGACCCACCGGCACTCAGTGGTGAGGCTGAGCTTCCATATCGGCTCCCTGGCCTTTGTGCTCAGACTTGCCTGTTCTTTTTTTTTTTTTTTTTTTTTTTATATATATATATTTTATTAATTTTTTTACAGAGAGGAAGGGAGAGGGATAGAGAGCTAGAAACATTGATCAGTTGTTTCCTGCACACCCCCTACTGGGGATGTTCCCGCAACCAAGATACATGCCCTTGACCAGAATCTAACCCAGGACCCTCAGTCCGCAGATCGACGCTCTATCCACTGAGCCACACCGGTTTCGGCAGACTTGCCTGTTCTTGACTGCCTTGGTAGAGGCTCGCTCTCTGCCTCTTGAGGGTCTGGGGAGCCTGGCCTGTGCCTCTGTCTGTGCAATCTCCACAGTGAAGGACCTGAGAACAGACTGTGTGTTATTCTTACAGCACCCCAGCCCCAGCCTGGCACACAGGAGGCAGTTAGTAAACGCTTGCTGACTATTTTCTCTTCTCTTACAATCTATTTTGATAGGCAACTTTTCTTTTTAAAAATTTTCCTTAGCTAATTTAAAAAATATTTTTAAGGTATTGAGCTAATGTTCCCATTGCATTTACATTGAAAGCAACTAAAGAAAGAGAAGGAAATCCTGCCATTTGTAACAACATGCAGCACCTGCAGGGCTCTGTGCCGCGAAGGGAGTGTGAGCATCAGAGGAAAGGACTCCCTGACTCCACTTGTGTGAGGAATCAGTCAGTCTCGGGAGCAGCAGGGGAATGGTGGCGGCCAGGGGCTGGGGAGAGGGAAGCCAGAGGCATTAGTCAAAGGCACAGAGTTCAGTCAGCAAGACGCAGTCCCAGAGTCTGCCCGAAGCTCGGTGCCGGAGCGAGCTGTACTCTGCTGTGTACGTGGTTTTGCTAAGAGGGTAGATCTTATGTGTCTTTATCACAAAATAATAAAGTGGCAGCAGGAAACCTTGAAAGCTAACGGGTATGTATATGGCAAAGATTGTAGCGATGGTTTCGGGGTGTATGCTTATCTCCAAATTCATCTAGTTGTACACAATAAAGATGTACAGCTTTTTGTATGTCAGTCATACTCAGTAAAGGGGTTTAAGCAAAAAAAAAAAAAAGCAATGATGTCATAGTTGAGTATATTATTAGCACCGTTTTCTATGTAGCTTACAGTGTATTACAAACAATAACACAATCTTCCTGTGAGTGAAATCAAAGTAGATATTATTATTTTTC